AATAAGCATTGTTGAGATAGGGAGCAGATTTTAAAACTACATTTGACCTCCTTGGGAGCTGTTAGAGGTCAGTTGTGGCTGAGGAACAGTTCTGTTTGTTACTCTGGTACAGGGAACTAACACTGATTACGTTGTTTAGGCAAGGAAGGATTCTTTGTGTGTGTGAGTGATGCTGGGGATTGAACCCAGGATCTCATGCACACTAGGCAAGGGTTCTACCCCTTGTAAAGGGTATCCCTATTGCATCACTCTAAAGTGCTAGACACTATAATACTACCAGGAAAAGGAATCAGAGTTTTGTATCATCCTCAAATTTGACTATAATATAGACTTCAATTAGTGGGAACTGGTAAATAATGATATAAGAAGATAATGAGAAAATGCAGTAAACACAATCTCTCAAATGAGCACATGTCGATTTACACTGAATTATTAGAAACCAGGAATAGAGCAAAGTATTCAGATTATTTTTGCTGTGTAGTTACCAGTGTCCATGAGGAAATATCTTCATCATCATGTTCATTCAGAATAAGGGTCTGGAAAGGAAGCATTGTGTCCTGAGAACACAACTCAGCTCAGAAGTAAGACTGCTGAAAGAAGAGAGGGTGGCTTCCTACGAGCTTGTTGAGATGATATTTTTTTCTTTCTTCCAAGCACTCTACCACCTGAGCCACATTCCAGCTCTTTTGCTTTTTTAGTTTGCTTTTCAGATAGGGTCTTAAACTAATTTTTTCTGTCTGGTCTCCCACTGCGATCCTCCTACCTCTGCCTCTTGAGTAACTAGAACTGTAGCTAAGTGACATCATGCCCAACAAAAATTCTTTTCAAATTAAACACACCCACTTGTGTACATCCTACAAAATATTTCTAGCACCCTCCTCCCCAAGTACTTCAGGTCTCTCTACTTCATTTTCCATTCTGATGGTATTTCCAACAAAGATGAGGAAATAGCTACAAGAAGAAGCTGTCTCACGGATCATTGGTGTTGAACTGATCTTAATGAGCTTAGATTGTGTGACTAAATAAAGTACATTATGTAGAACTGTTGGAGAATGGTTTCAGCACTTTTGAGGTAGTATATAAAGCATAAATTTGCAAAGCAACTTCATACATACCCACTGGCTCTGTGCCATAGTTTTCTCACCTCTAAAACAGAAGCGATGGTGATGATGATAACTTGGTCAATGGAACTGGGTGCAGTGGTATGTGACTATAGGCCCAACACTACATGGGAGACTGAGCGGGAAGATCATTTGAGCCCAGGAGCTCAATGCTAGCCTGGGCAACACAGAGAGACCCTTTTTCTTAAAAAGTAAGTAGTGGAGAAAGGTCTTATATCGCTTCAGCATGAAAATGATCAGAGCCGAGATTCTGGCACTTTCCGAGCACTCAAAAAATATTTATAAATGAATGATGGAAGGAAGTAAGGAGTCATTTGTCATAGGTATCTGTAAAAAAGCAGTTCTAGGATGGGAGTGATGGCTCACACCTGTAATCTTAGCTACTTGGGAGGCAGAGATCTCAAGGATCATGATTTGAGGCCAGTCTGGTGAAAAAGTTCACAAGATCCCATCTCAATCAATAAAAATCTGGGTATGGTGGTTCTGGCCTGTCATCTCAGTTCTCCAGGAAACATAAGTATGAAAATTGTGGTGCAGTCCTGCCCTGAGATAAATGCAGGACTCCATTTAACAAATACCTACAAACTAAAAAGGCTGGGGATATGGCTCTTTTTATGTTGGGTATTTTTGAGATAGTCTCATTTTTTGCCTGGGCTGCCCTTGAACTATGATCCTCCTGATCTCTGCCTCTCAAATACCTAGAATTATAGGCAAGAGCTATTAATGCCCAGCAAATTCTTTTTCTTTAAAAAACAACTTTAGATGGACATGGTGGTATATACCTGAGGACCCAGTTACTCTGGAGACCAAGGCAGGAGAACTCCAAGTTGAGGTCACCTATGGCTGACCTCAAAAACAAAATACAAACAAAAGGGCTGGGGGCATGGCTCAAGTAGTAGAACACTTGCCAAGCAAGCACATGCAAGACCCTGGGTTCAATCCCAAGGAGGGGAGGGAAGAAAGAAAGACAGAGACAGAGAGAGAGACAGAGACAGAGAGAGACAGAGAGAGAAGAAACAACTTTGACAGATTTGCAAAACAATTGGGACTAATAGTCTACATATTCATCAGGTGGTTCCTTTATCACTCTCAGGCTCCTTAAGGGATGGTTGCTAGAATACCAAGAATAATAGTGCCATCTAGTGACACTTGTAATTATTGTCTCTAAAACTGCTTGTGGCAACTTTTTTTAGAAAATTCATTTAGGAGACAAGTACAGAGTACAATGTGTGCAATCTGTGATCTTCACCAGTTTCAATCCAAAAACCTTTTTCAGACCCAAAAAACTCCTAGATGTTATAAACACCTTCAGAAAAGTAGCAGATACAAATCAATTTACAAAAAATCAGTAGCCTTTCTATATACCAACAATGAACTGACTGAGAAAGAATATAGGAAAACAATTCCACTTTCAATAGCTTCAAAAAAATACCTAGGAATAAGCTTTAGAAAGGAAGTGAAAGACCTCAATAATGAAAACTACAAACCACTGAAGAAAGAAATCAAAGAAGACTACAGATGATGGAAAGATCTCCATGGACTGACAGAATCAATATTGTGAAAATGGCTATATTCCCAAAAGTAATCTACATGTTCAATACAATCCCCATAAAAATTCCAGTGAATTCATCACAAAGATTGAAAAATCAACCCTAAAGTTCATATGGAAGCCCAAAAGATGGCATAGCCAAGGCATCACTGAGCAAAAAGCAATGCTGGAGCACACAATATCCAACTTCAAACTATACTACAGAGCCATGAAATAAAAACAACATGGTTACTCGCACAAAATAGACATGAAGACCAGTAGAACAGAAGACTCAGATATAAATCAATGCAGCTACACCCACCTGATTTTAACAAAAGCACCCAAAACATATGATGAAGAAAAGACAGCCTCTTCAACAAATGTTGCTGGGAAAACTGGATATCTGCATACAGAAAACTGAAACTAGATCTATGTTCATTCACCTGTACAAGTATCAACTCAAAGTTAATTAAGGACCTTAATATGAGACCTGAAACGTTGAAGCTACTGCAGGAAAGCAGAATACATTGGAATTAGTAAGCATAGGTAATGACTTTCTAAATAGAACTCAAATGGCTCAGCACTAAGAGAAAGGATTGACAAATGGGACTACATGAAACGAAAAGCTTCTATTTAACAAAAGAAATGGTCACCAGATTGAAAAGATGGCCCACAGAATGGGAGAAAATCTTTGCCAACTATACATCTGACAAAGGATTAATAACCAGAATACACAGGAAGCTCAAAAACCTAAACCCCCCAAGAAAATCAATGACCCAATGAAGAAATGGGCAAAAGAACTGAACAGACCTTTTTCAAAGGAAGAAGTACAAATGGCTAAAAAACACATGAAGAAAATCTAAACATTACTGTCCATACAGGAAATGTAAATCAAAACTACCTGAAGATTGCACTTCATTCCTGTTAGAATGGCTACCATCAAGAACACAAACAACAAGGGTTGATGAGGATGTGGGGAAAAAGGAACCCTCATACACTGCTGGTGGGAATGTAAATTAGTAACCACTGTGGAAAACGGTATGAGGGCTCCTCAAAAAACTAAAAGAACTGCCATAGGATCCAACAATACCCTTCCTAGGGACATACCAGAAAGAATATAAGTCAGGTTACAATAAAGGCACCTGCACACCCATGTTTATTGCAGCACTATTCACAATAGCTGAGCTATGGAAACAGCCAAGAGTCCCCACTACTGATGAATGAATTAAGAAAATGTGGTGTTTATATACAATGGAATTTTGTTCAGCCATCAAAAAATGAAATTTTGTAGTTTGCATGTAAATGGATGGAACTGGAGAATATCATCTTCAGTGAAGTTAGCCCGGTTCAGAAAGCCAAGGTCACATGTTTTCTCTCATATGTGAAATATAGACCCAATGAAAAATACAAGCAATATTATGAAAAACAGTTTACACTAAGGGGAGGTCACGTATGAGAGAAGGAGGGTAAAAGATGAAATTAAGAAAGTGAATATGGTGGACATACTTCCTATACAAGAATGAATATAGAATTTTTAAACCTGTTAAAATCACCATAAGAAAGGGACTAAGGTAGAAAAGAAAAGGGAATGAAAT